AGAGGGAACAGTGGGAAGAGACACTGAGGAAAATCTTCTCCTTCAGTCCTCATTCGGTCGGCTCTCACTTTTATTTAGGACTACAAAGCTGTGCGTGCTCGAGTGAGTGAAAGTGTGTTAAGAGTGTTTGAAGAACTTTATACCTCTTGTTGTACGAGTCTCCCTGAGTTCAGGCTCACAAGCTGAAAACAGACGTGGTTGCTCGTTCTTTAGGCCCATTATTTAAACCTGAATCAAGCCTCAGAATGAGATCTCTCCACGCTACTAGTTTAAAACCCAAAATCAGCCTCTTAAAAAATAAAATCTGATTTAAACCGTGTCACAGGTTTTTGTTTGTTTTCCTTTTGGCTCTGATGTCAGTGAGAAAGGATGTGCACACAGCCTGTGAGATAAACAGATTATTTTGAACACTGAATCATGCAAAGCTACTCTGATGGAGTCCAAGATAAAAATATAGAGCAGAACAGCCCACTTTAAAGCTCAGTATGTGACTTCTGAAAGCTTTTTTTTTAAATGTCCTGTTGAGCTGGAAACATTTCTGTTTTTTCTTCTTTAAAAAGGAAAATCGGTTTAAGTAAAATCTAGAAATATTTAACTAATAACTGCTGACATTTAACTGTAAAAATGTTCTTTTTGTACATCAATGCCGTGTCTGTATGAATCATCCACAGGAGCAGCTGTAGATGGAAATCCCACCGCAGCGACGGTATCAATGATAATGAGCCTAAAATCAGTTCTCAGCAACCACAGATGTTCTCACAGAGCCAGCTGGGTATCAGGGGAAATTATGATTCATCTTTTAAAGTGATCATTTATGGACAGAATATATTTAATGAGTTTTCTTAAGTTGTTCGGACTCTGTGTTTTCTTTCTGTGCCATGTCTGAATCCCTCAGACTTGAAGTGAGACGTCTGCGTCCTCTTTCCTTTAATCTGCACACATTACAAAACGACAAACTTCCTGCTGTACAAACGGCTACCCGATTAATTTATTCAAAACTTTTTTACATAACTGGGACCAAAGCTGGAGCCCAGCAGCTCTGGATGAGTTTTAAGAGTCTGAGCGTGTGGAGCATCACTGTGTGGGGTTACATTTATTTACGGTTACATTAAGCGCCCATAATGAGTTGAATTTAAAACCTCTGCAGTTTAACACCAAATTCAACTCATTTATTTTTTTCTATTCAAATTCAAACTGATTCGGAGCCATTTTTACATCCGCTGTGTATTTTTCATATATTGAACTATGTAAAGCTGTATTTTGTAAAAACCTGACAGACGATGTGCAGTTTTTAAGTTAATGAGTATTAAGATGCAGATGTTTGGACTGTGACGGTGTCGCAGAGGTGGTGGCGTTGTGTGAAAACGTTCCTGAGATGTTCTGACTCTGGAGGACGGTCCCAGCCGAGGGCGCCCCGCTGCGCTTCGCCGCGGCTTCGTCCGTATGTCCGACCAGCCTCCGTCTCCTGTTTGTCGTCGTCTCTCGCTGGGAGCTGTGCTGCTGTGCCTTAGCTGTTCTCCTGTCTTTAGGAAAGCCTCCTGAAAGCATCTGTAATGTCTAAAAACTGAAAAATTAAAGACAAAGATTTGTTGTGAACGCCTTAGAAATGATCTCGGTGGTTTTAAAGAACAATTTCTAAAAAATAAAAACAA